GGGGGGGGTGGAGTCTGTAAGCATTGGTCATGGGTCGGGTATGTAGAGTGAACGTTACTATCATTTGTATGGAGGGAACAAGTGCCACCAGGGTGTGGGGGTGATATGCAATCGCCATCTGGCGTCGGCCACAAAAGTGATAGTGCTTGTATTAGCGTCTTCTAACGACGCAGCACTGTATTCGCTAGCCGGGTAGCCACTGCCTCGTCTGTTGCTAGCACCCGTTGGCGTAGGCCCTTGGAGAAGTTGACTGGTGTCCGGTAGACAACCTGCGGGGCTTCACTACGATCGACTCGGTGATTCGTATCGACAAGGTTTGTGAGAATAGAAGCCGATATCGATCTAGTTCCACCTTTACTTCCTCAGACCGGTGCGTGTTCACTTACCCTCTAGATCGATCTCGAATTCTATTCTCACAAACCTTGTTGATACGAATCACCAACAGTAATCTTCACTCCACGTACCCGGCCCAGGAACAATGCTTACAGCCTATCCTAATTTCCTCCCCCCGCAGCGCAAAGGCCTCTACACGCTGATTTCTCCATGGGGGTGGCATGAAAACGATGAGTTGTAATCATAAGACACTAGTTAATCTTGTCCAACTGTACGATTTTCATTATCTCTGCAAATGTACCGGTCCCCTTGCTGAAAACATGTGCTTGCAGAATAAACATTTTAAGGTTTAACGGTAGGCAGAGGATGAGGATGGCCACGCCAACTATATATATTCGTCATTCAAAGCTTCACAAAAATTCACAAATATTTTACTTTTCGTAGTCATGGTTAGGATTAACGAGCTCACATGTTTTTTGAACACTGACTAGTATTCGTGTGCCTCTATTGTTTTCCAAATACACTAAAGCTCCGATTGACTTTCATAAGGCGGTTTGCTCACAGTTGTCGATGTCTTGGGGAACTGTAGCGCTTTGCAAATAGCGTAGTTCCTGCAAGTTTATCTGAACTCCACCAAACCAACTTTCCTCTGCCTCCATCCATTCTGTGTTTACGAATAAGTTTGATATTTGTCTGTCGCTGGAAATCTAGAAGCCAGCCAGACGTGAGGTAGGCATCACGTATACTCAAAGACACACGTGCCCAGCTCCAATGGGGCAAGGGGCGGTTTCATGTTTGCTACAGTTTGCTAGTTATATTTTTCTGCTCTCAGGCCAGTTATCGAGAATTAATCCTATTTAAGTAGAATAATAAATGTTACATTTTTTCTTCGTTCTGTTTTCCTTGTTCAGCACAATCTTCGTCTCCCACGCGAAAGTGAAGAAGGAGCAAAATGAAATTATCCAATCCTAGACAGGCCTCTGCAAATCCCTATCTTTATGCCCGCGGATATGGTTGCTCTCTACCCAACGTCCGACCACAGAGTCTACCAAGAGCAAAGAACCACGACCGGGATTGTCATACTGGCATGTGCGAGTACTGCTGGCGCGATGCTGGGCCC